ATTAGTTTGGCTGACAGTGTGATGAAGTATATTGAACCAATTAAAAGAAAAAAAAGAAAACAGACATAGGAAAGGAGGTCTTCTGTGCTCCCTACTATTCCTTGGAAAGCAAGCAACTCATGCTTTGATTCAGGATACAAGATCCAAGTTTTGTGACCTGGAACTCTTTTTCTTCTTCATTTATAGAGTGTACAGCCACTTCCTGTATATCTCTGATCAACCCCATCTTGAGGTAGAATGAGAGTTTCACTGTAGAGCACATTGCCTAGTGGGTGCTCCATTGTAGTCCTGAGTTTTGGCCAAAGCTGACAGAAAGAATATGCACAGGTCCAAGGGATTCATTGAATTTGTGCTGAGGATTTCCTTCTGATGAATTAACAAAACTATTACTTAGATTTAAGATATAGCTATCTGGTGAGATTTCAGGCTGATGCCTTTGACCTCTATGGATCAGAAGCATGTTTTGACATAGGAAACAACTGGAGATTTTCCTGCCATTCTGAAAGTTAAGATTATTAAAACTGGAGAGTTAAGGTTCTCACATACACTGTGTAGTAAGAGATTCACACTTGTATTCAATATTGGATTACTCTAAAAAGCCAATCACATTACTTAATTCACTATCAGACAGATACTGTGTGCTTCTTTCTGGGTCCTTATAAACATGGACATGTTTTTATTATATCAATTTGTTAACTTCAACAAATACTAGTGACCTACAGAAAGGTTCTTTTCCTCACCAGTCTTTACCACTGCTAAAAAGTTCACCTTTTGAGGAATTATGTATATTTGGGAGATTTTTTTTGTCAGAAAATGTTAAAATATCCCTTGTCTGTATTTATCAAGGAATTTGTCACATCTGTTTGCAGTATGTGAATGGTTTGTATTAAGTTCTAAAAAGACAAGCCCAAGTCATTCAGCTGTCCACTAAGGTAATTATTTATCAAGCACTTTAAAAAAGTAATCCTATTCTACTAAATCCATATTTTTCTTTTTGGCAGTAGAGTTTTAAGTTTTACATGCTGATAATACATGAATGAATTATTAATATATTGAAAAATAATTAATAGCCATTTATTAAAAGCTGTGGGATATAATAATTGCCAGTAATTAATAACATATATCTAAAGCACCTATTTCAGCTCAGCAGAGAAATATTTTTCAATATCATTTGTCTCAGTACCTTGCCAGTAAGCATCTTTACATTTTTAGTGACAAAAAGTATTGATCAATGTATAATTCACCAGAAATATTCAAAAGGCCCAGCTGGCTTGAGGACAAGAATAATTATCTAACCCTAATCTTTACTATCAATCAAAAGGCCAGCCAATAAAATGAATCATACTTACAATTACTATGCATGGCCATTAGCAGCCACGACAATTTCACACACTGAACAAGCATATACTCACTGAAATACCTTGACAATTGCAAGCATGCCAGAGGATTTACACCATGAGAACACCTCAGCCAAATCACTCACTACATTTCTGTGGTGATTTTTGTGCCGAACATGGGGTTGATAATGTAAAGATGCTTTTGCTGTTGTTGAGCAGGACTTACAGAGCCAAGGCCTTTTCTGTTTCTCCTGCTGCCATGAGTGTATGGGAGTGCAGGGGAGGCTGGGAGAAGACACAGCTGGGACAGGTGACCCCAAGTGATCAAGGAGATATTCCAGACCTTATGGCATCACGTCCAGTGCATAGTGTGGGGGGAAGAAGGAGGAAGGGGGCCTTTGGTGTGATTGCATTTGTTTTCCCAAGTAACCATTACACATGATGACATCTCCTGGAGATGGCCAAACACCTGCTTGCCCATGGGAAACAGTGAATTAATTCCTTCTTTTGCTTTGCTTGTGTGCCCAGCCTTTGCCTTCCATATTAAACTGTCTTTAACTCACTATTTTTCTAGTTTTTTCATTCCAAGTTCTCTCCCTGATCACATGTGAGTTGAGCAAAGGGCTGCATGGGGCTTGGTTGATGTCTGGGGTTAAACCACAACAGTCTCTTATGACATCTTTTAACTTCTCATAACATGGAGTCAACGTATATAAGGTGTACAGAGGTGAATAAACATGCTGGTAAGCTGTCATTTTAAGGTATGGTTGTGTGGTTATCTCTGCTCTTGATATTGTTAGTGATGTACTTCTAACTTTTAGATTGATCTATTTGTGCATTTGCCCTGTTTCCTATGTTTACTAGATTGTTATGATTAAAAGAAAGGAGAGACGTGAAGGTTTGCTACTGAAAGGTCAATAATTAAAATATCCCTCACAGAACTATTTCTGTGGCTTCTCTAGCTGCAGCAGATTTTTTGTTGGGTTTTTTTTTTTTCAGTGCAGTCAAATATGGACAATTTCATTCCTGTGTTCTTACTATTGCTTAAGAAATGGAGCTTCTGGTACAAATTCAAAGTTAATTGCAGAGAAAGGTAAGTTTGGGGCTAGAGACCAGTTACAGTGTATACGTTAGTCAGGAGAATAAATTACTCTTTGACAACACAATTCAGTGTTTTGAAACACTGGGACAAAACTGAGACAAAAAATGCCACACAAATATACTTAATTTCAAAATGTCAAACAATTCTCTAAAGGAATCATCAAATCTAGCTGGCAGTGAGCAGAATGCAAGTTATCCTAAATCACTATGTGTTCCCCAAGACCCCTTACCACATCCACTCTTTACCTCTAGATAGCAATGAGCTGTAACACTCCATTACTACACTAAAGCATCCGATTTAGGTATATAAATTATTAATCATCATTGTCATTTTCATTGCTTATAGAATGATAGCTGTCTGCTTCTTAGTTCAGATCAGCATAAGAACAAGAAAGTTATATGTTTTCATACTTGCACAAACACGTGCTTTGGAAACAGGCTCCTCCTGAAAACTTACAGCTTACAAAGTTCTGGTTGCAACACCATTCCTCATCGATGTTGTTCACCTTGAAATGTCATCATAGTAAACAAGCATCTTCCCTGGTTTGTTTCATAACCAGGAATTCATTGCTGAATCATTTGAGTTTCCCCTCACTGTAATCTGCTTCTTTTGCCATGTAATTACTGATTATAGCATGTGACACTTGGAGTTAGGTTACCCATCTATTTTGCATTTCTTGACACCTTGTTTGGAACCACAGAGTGCTGAGGCTTTGAGATCTGCCTTCATCTTCAGTGGAGGTATTTCAGCTTCCCCTTTTGCTGGCACCTAAATAGAATATTCAACAGTTAACTGTGCATGGAAAGATATCCCTTCCATACAACTGTTTACACTGACAGCATATAGTTTTCCATATATCTTGGTGTAAATGACATCAAATTTTGTGAGCTATCGTTTTATCTCAGCTTAACAGAAAAAATCTTATGAATTCCCATATACTGTAATCTGAATGGTGCATACAACACAGATGTGTACATCAGAGCACACTGTGAATTTATTCAATTTTTTCCTTTTATGACCTGCCAATAAACAAGACCTCTAATGTAACTCATTTGAAATGCAAAGTACACCAAATCGGTAGTGTTCTCTTTATTGCCTTTTTACATAAAAAGTATGTGGAAGACTCCTGGTGATTGATACAAGCTGATGCCACAGGAGAAGTACATTCTTACAGACCTAAGTATGTGTGTTGTTTTCTATCAAAAAATATTGATGATACAGTGGTGTGGGACTGTAGTTTTAGAGTTCGATAACTCATGTATGGGAAACTGAGAACCCACAAAAGTAATTGTAGAGGTGTGAGCTGGTAATCAGGGAATTCACTGTTTTAGGGGCCACACTTAGACAATCATCATCTGCCTTTTTGATATAAATTAAGAAGTGTTTAATTTTGTACCTCCAGCGAAGCAGCAGCAGAGGGAGGAGAGCACTTGCTCTCCGGGTGGGATGGAGCGGCCAGGCGGGATGGAGCCAACGGTGCCTCCCCGCTGGCCGGGCCGGCCAGGTGCGGGAGGGCCACCGACGTGGCGGCAGCAGCAGCAGCAGCAGCAGGGGGATGTCCCGAGTGGGATAGGGCGCTGCTGCCCAGCCCTCGGGAAGGCACCCAGGTACCTGTGCCGCAGAGCCGCATCCTGCACCCGCCCAGCCGGGAAGCGCCGCCTGCCCCGGCCCGCACCCCGCACCTCCCCCGCACGGAGCCAAGCCCTGGGCGGGCTGGGCAGGGCCAGGCCAGCCCTGGTCCCGGCGGGAGGGCAGGTGCGGGACAGTCGGGAGCCGGCGGTGAGCGCGGGGAGAGGGGGAAGATGTCACTGCTGGGGCAGGGCCGGGAGGGGACCAAGGGGGCACAGCCGCGGCGGGACGGACGGGACGGGGACGGGACAGGGACGGGACGGGACGGGACGGGTCCGATCCGCCGGGACCGTGCGGACTCTTCTTCTCCTCAGCCTCTCCTGCCCCTTTCCAAACACTGTAAAGGGAGCGGTGCTGCCTAAAGCAGGATGAAAAGCAAGGCTCGTAAGTGCCAGGGCCAGGCTTTTCCCTGTGCCTGGCCAATCGCTGGCAAATGGGAACGCGTGGTGTGATTTCGGCCGCACAGCACTGGGAAATACACAAGGCGTGGGAACGTCCCAATTGCCTGGATTCTGAAAGAGGTCATGTCTCCTGCTAAGGAGGACACCTTCCTTCCTAAGGCTGATACCGCACCAGCGTGTTCAGTACTTTTTTGTTCAGCTAGAATCACCTTGCTGCGAAAACAAAGTGCTCTACGGCTATCGCCGCAACATACCTGTCTAAAAATGTGTTACTAAACGTTTTTAAAAACAGAGTTGGAAGGTGAGGAACTCGGGATGAAACAGGTCTGTAGGATCTAGAGGAAGATAGCTGCTTTAATCCTACTAGTAAGGTAGTAAGGTAGCTTTCACAATACAAGTCTTTAATAATATATTTTGTATCTGCACAGAAGAACACTGCAAAAGAACTTGCTGTTTGAAGGTCAACCACGTCCTTGTTTTTGTTTTTTTTTTTTTTTTTTTTTAATTTCCCCTTTTTTTTTTTTTTTTTTTGTCAATATCCCACTATTGTAATGTATTGTGTTTCTGGGTTTGCACAATAGAAGAGTGGTGCTTGTGCCTGAGAAATCATGTTCAACTTCAGATGCATCCAGAAGTTACTACAGTACCTGAAATTTTTTATTTTTTTAATTATCGAGAACACCTTCTCTGTATTTTCTCTACGCAAAAAATATTTTGCTGGTGAAATAGTACTTATTACTGGCTCTGCAAATGGAATTGGAAGGCAGGTTGCCTTAAAATTGGCTCCTTTGGGAGTAACCTTGGTTCTGTGGGACATCGATGATGAAGGTAACAAAGAAACAAGCAGATTAGCCCAACAAAATGGAGCCAACCAGGTGTTTGTCTACCACTGTGACTGTAGCAGGAGGGAGGATGTCTATGAACAGGCAGACAAGGTAAGATCTGTATTTTTGCTTCTTTTTAATAGAATATCCTGTTGAATTTATTGTTTTTTTGAAACCGTTCCTAGAGGGAAGTGATCATGTAGGGCAATATCTTTCTCCTTTTGAATAGTTTCTAGATGGAACTTCAACTATGGTTGCAACAAAGTAACTGGGTTTAATCAGTTCTGTTGAGATCTATCCATTTCTATTCTTCACTGTGAGATGGTAATGTTTAGATTAAGAGTGTGGTAAAACATGCAGCAGAGATTATCTCCATATATTAGCCTACTTAGGCTTTATAGTTTCTTTAAGATATCAATAAATAATTTGAAAATAAAAGATCAGTGGATGTTGTGAAAGAGGGATTATTTCCTTTGCCTATTTGTTTAGGAAGCAAAATGTAGTCCTTTGAGGGTGATGTTGGATGTCATGTTTTCAGACATGTCATTAGGATGTGGCTGGACTCCAGTCAAATTGAGGGCTTCAGTTCCTTTTTTGATCAATACAGGTGGAAAATAAAGTAAAGAGCTCCATTTTCAATGAAACTCCTCTCCTGTGCTGACCAGTGCTTTGTAAACTATTATTATTATTATTATTATTATTATTATTATTATTATTATTATTATTATTATTATTGTCAGAGTTCAGGAATTGGACATTGAATTAACATGGATAATTTTTACTTTTCTTTAAACTGCCTGAAAATGCTTCTTGGTGTAACTTCACTTATAATCCTGCAAACTTCATCCAGGTGTAAACTTCTGTTAAATTCTCAATGTATGTGCTTATACACATGACTCTCAAGTCACATCTTTGACATTCTGTGTCTGAATGCATACATCAGAGAAATTAGCTAAATTATTTTATTATGTGAATGTTGATAGATTGTTTCAGAATAGACTTGAAATGTAACACTAATTTTCTACAAGTTGTGGGTGGAAAGATGGGGACATGGAGGGGCTCAGCTCTTTGTTTTTTGGCTGTTTTTAATTTTAACCAAATTAGATTAAGTCTTTCTGAGAAAGGTAATGAAAGTTTGAAACACTTTTTTTACTCAATATATGTTCTTAAGGAAAGTACTTTTAAAAGGTAGGTTGTATTCAGAATCTGTAAATAACTGGAAGGGCAATTCTCATGCTTTCAAATCACAAGGACTTCTTTTACTTCTAAGTAGCATGTGGGCCACAGCTCACTCACACTGTAGACAAAAAAAATATAACATTTTGAAATTATTTGTTTGCTCTTACTTTAGCAGAGTTTCAAAATGTTTGTTTTGTGTCCCCAGTAATTTTCTATCTCCAAACACATTACCAAATCAGCCACAGAACTCCAGCCTGTGGAATTTGCTGCGCCCAAATCAGCAAACACTATTCTGAAGTGCACAGATTGACCTGCCAACAGAAACTTAAAGAGCAGTTCAAAATTTAAAAATTGCTGTTAAGGTGTCAAATTATTGTTAACACCAACATATCCACAGATATTTGCATGTATTGTTCAGTCCTGGTGGAGACAGAAATTTTCTTAAATGAAGAGCTTTTCAAATATCAACCTCCCCTACTCTTGGAAATACCTGCAAATTTTTGATTGGTAATATGAAAAGTCTTGAGCTTGGACACAAAAGAGAAAGCAATAGCAAGAAAGTTAAATTAATTGGTTTTATTTGGTATACTCACTTATTCTTTATTTATACAAAGCATAAGTATTTTCCCATAATGTAAGTTTTGTTTCTAGGAAATAAAAGAGACCATTGAAGTCTCTAAAGAGGTTTTAGAACAAACTGGTCAAGTGAACAACAACTAATTTTCAGAAACAAGAAGTGTCTACCTGGGAATTCTAAAGGAAGTCACACATGGATCTGGTGGACTAGAAATACAGAATATGTGTTTGCTATAACAGATGATCAAGGAAAAATCATAGTAAATATGCCAGTCTTAAAAGGCATGTGAGAGGACACAAACACACTATGAACCTGTCTTACAGAAAACTAGTAGAAATTATGTTAACAGAAGAATAAACAGACATCTAAAAATATACATCATGTAGAATAATCATCTTGGCTTTTTCTAAATGGAAGCCAAGCTTCACATATATTTTGTAGTAGTGAGTAAACAGGACAACCAATGACATGGTAATTAAAATGCTGCCATTGTTGAAGATACGCTGTCATGATAAGAAAAGGAGGATCATCATATGTACTGACATCATCGTATACTGACACAGCAGTTAAAAGAGTGGGGAGAAAGTAGAGATGTGTTCCTCAAAGGAAAAATTGAGTAAACCTGCCATACTGAAGTGTGGGGTTGAACAGTTAATGATTTGCATTCATTTATGTAGATGGAAAGGTGCAAGTATCTCAGCCCTATTTGTCAATGAGGAGGCCTAAACAGCGGAAGAAATGTCAAACAAATCTTCATTGGATGCTGAGGTTACCTGAGAGAGCCAAAGGAAGGTCAAAAGTTGGGGCACCAGACCCAATCGCCTTTTTCCAAATTGCCAGATATCAGCACATGCAGGATTTTAATATTTTTGTAGTCATAACATAATTTTTGAGACCAGAGATAATCATCTACCTTTAGTAGAGAAATCCGTGAGACTTATTGTTCATACTATAAGTGAATCATGGCCATCTGCTCTGATACAAATCCAAATCATGGCACAAAATCTTTTGAAAACAAACCCAAATGGAGCTAAAGATGATTTTACCTATTTCTTAGTAGATGCTATTATGCTCAGAGAATGGTATCCCCCAGTTATCTGAGCTGAATTCTTTCCAATTCAGTAGAAATTCTATGGAAAAGGGGTTGAGCAGGCTTAGCAGAGGAATGCAGGTTCTCACAACACCAAAAATAGGGGACTGGAAGTGTTCTGATTGCAGTTAAAGCATGCTCATGGTGTGTACCAAAGCTGCATAACATTTTACCTTTGGTTTCTGTGGAAGCCAAAAGCATTCTGGAGTTCAGGGAGCAATTAGACAAATTTGGGGTGGGAGGCAGGGTGGTAAATCACTGGGATATATTAAAGACAATGATATAGATATCTTATACCTCTCACAAGATCCTAATTTGCAGCATGTGAAAAGTTGAGCACACAAGAGACTTTAGAGCCCGGGTCCTATTTGCATTGCTTTCCACCATGAGACAAGGGCTTGTGGGCTTAGATGGACCTTTGATCTAATGCAATACAACAGTTCTTGCCTGCTTATGTTTTCATACATATCAATTATTGCAAATGTTACTAAACATTCTCATAATTGAAGCACAAGAGGCAAGGATACCTTCTAAAGTTTTCTGTTTATCCGTTTTTGTTTGGTTTTTTTTTTCTAATTCAGGTTAGAAAAGAAGTTGGAGATGTTACTATTCTAATCAATAACGCTGGCATATTGATTGGGAAAAAGTTCTGTGACCTTACAGATGAAGACTTTGAAAAGACCTTCAGAGTCAACTTCTTTTCTCAAGTCTGGGTAAAGTTTTTGTGGGTTTTTTACTTCTGAGTGACCAAAAGGTAAAGACAAGTATTTTGGTGTGAAAACCACAATGGTGGCAATCTAACTTAAAAATTCAGCTAGAAATAGGGATGTGAAAGATCTTGACTGGGGGAATATATGTTTTCATGATCATCCTGTAATTGCAGACAGTCTCCCCAGTATGTCTCAGTAATGTTCACACAAACCCACCTGGGCATTCTGGTAAATCAATGTTTGTGCAGCTGTACCATGAAACACACCCTACCTGTAAAAGCTGTGGTGGAAAGGAAAGTGCTGACATGATGTCATGTGGCTTCCCTGCTCCTGATGTTTCCAAAGCATCTGAAGGCTTTGCCTAAGAGACTTGCAGCATTCAGGGGGACACAAGCATAGTTTACTGGCAGACTTAGCAGTGGTATACTTCGAGTTGGACTCAATGATTTGAAAGGTCTCTTCCAGCCTAAATGAATCCATGATTTTATGTTGCACATGTTGCCCTTCAGGCTGTGCTTTCTTTCCTAGTCACAATCTGATTGAAATACATAGAAAACAAATCCAGCTGGTAAGAATTTGTTTTGGTTTTTTAACCTCTGGAGGAATTTGCAGTTATTTTGGATCTCAGCAGAGGTTTTGTGGGGTTTTTTTGTGAGTGTTACTATTGCCCCCTCTTGCAGCTTTTGTTTATATGCCTGAGTGAACAGTCTGCATCAGGGAACAATATAGCACTGCAACTCCTTCACTAAAAGGCATTCCTCAATGGAAAATCATTGCAGATAGAAGTCCTCTAAGAATTCCCCAGCCACACTGCATCATTCTTCCAAATGCTTGAGGAAAATGGACTGGGAGAGGTGTTCCCCCTGAAAGATCTGAAGAAACGCAGGGCAGGAGGGCAACAAATACTAACCACTTACACCTGGAGTCTAATGCGATTCCTCAGCTAGTGAAAAAAAAATGTTACTGCTCTTGTCTCTTTTTTATATCTCCCCCTTTGTAAAACATTAGCATTCTTCCCAATTAGTATCAACCACAGTGGTGTCCTGGAGTGCTGGAATTGTCAGGCAGTTCGGCTTGTAACAAAAAGGACCCACAGACAGCTGAAACTCTCCTTAATGTGTTGACTTCTAGCTCCCTCTTGTGTACCAAACCTTTAGCAACAGACAAACTGTGAGGAAACGGGAAAGTAGACAAAATACAAACTTTGCTGCTTTTAATAAGATGCTTTTAATGCTGTTATATCTTCAGACAGAGGGCAGTCATTCAAGGAGACGTTGTCTCTCATTTAAAAATTGTTACCGAGGTAAAATGTCATTTGGGCTTCTTATATATTGAAGATCCAGAAAGCAGGTCAGGTTGTCCCACCTAATTTTGGAATGAAACATTTTTGTTATGCCTATTTATAAAGGGAATTTTAAACTAAATGTATTTATATTCTTTTAGACTTGCAAGGCCTTTCTTCCAGCCATGGTGGCCCGTAACCGTGGGCACCTGGTTAGCACAGCCAGTGGAGCTGGATTGCTGGGACTCTACATGCAGTCAGGTAATTATTGTCAGCTGCCATTGCAAAATAGATCTACATACTAATCACTTTTCTTGCACGCCTCATAAATGCTTGGCTCAAGCAGTCTGTACTGACAAGAATCTGTGAGTGCCAGAGGTGATGGTGAAATGGAGCAGGATGGTGTCACGTGCCTGAGTGACACAGGGAGCTCTCTGCAGGTTTTACTGTCCAGTTATAGACTCTTTTCTCCACATAAGGACAATTCAGCTCATACACGTGCAGTGGGACAGAGCCCTGCAAACAGGTTGTCTAAACTTTCTCATGACAGCTTTTCTGCAGGTGAATGTTCAGAGACTTGAGACACACAAGGGTTGTACCTGGAACTACACATTCAGTTGGTTTTTCAAGTGCAGAAGGCATTCTGGCATAATTTTCAACAAAACTAATTTGAATGAAGCATGGTTTAAGATATTTAAAGCTCAGTATTCTCAGTTGTTTCCCTCAGGAGAGCAGTCTGCTAGTCTAGCCTATTTCATCAGTCTGGGTCTGCTTCCCAGTCTCTGCTCAAGCCTCTCTTATGTGTTGCTTATATCTCTGAGATCACCCTATGAGAGCCTGAACTTCAGTGTAACAAGGATCTCTTGTTTCTTCTGCTGATTGATGGTGTTACTCTAGTGTTTGCCACCTGTTACCCAGGGCTTACCTTGGTATATTATCCGTATTTGGTATTGATAATACAAGTCACATTGAGCTTTCATCATATAACTGTAAGGCTTATGGGAGTGGGCCTTCCCATCCATGCATTATAACCTTTTACACCTTAGATATATATATTTTAAGGCTGTATGGTCCCATCATTCACTGCCTGTGAACCCCTGAAGAATAGCAAACTACTTCTGATGCCAGTCCTTGGAGTCATTCTTTTAGCAAAATTGGATTTCATTGTATCTAGCAACTATTTTCACACACATTTGAAAAGATTCTAGGAAATTGCATGTAAGGCACTGTATTAAATTAATTTCTAACAATTGGAAAACTGTAGAATAATTTGTGTCAGAAGCAATCTGTGAAAGTCACTTGTTCCATATCCCCAGATAAAAACAGGCCCAGCTTAGGTTAGGTTGCACAGGGCTGTGTGAGGGCAAGTTTTGATTATCTCTGAGGATGGGGTTCCATACACTCATCAAACAATAAAAATCAGATGAAGCTCAGTCTTACTGGGAAAACAAAATAGTCTTGTAGTTACAGGGCAAATCAGAAGTAATAGGCTGAAGCAGCATTTATAGGTAAGGTATTTTTATTTTACCACTATAAATAGTTCTTTCTGAAATGTAGCATGTGATATTAAAAGTTGAAGATATTCTGAACTGAAAGAATGCCTGGTTGGTATATGAGTATCTGGAAATTTCGAGAAAATGCTGAATAAGCTCATTTGCCTATATCTGTCTACAGTGCACTGAAAAAAAAAAGTCTCCTCTGAAAAGGATTCATTTTATCCTTAGGCAACTGTGCATAATTCATGGGAAGACCCATAAATCTCCAGAGTTGGATCACCAATATGTTTTAAATGCTAATTACAAGACTGCCCATGATAGAACTAAATAATATCATGGCTTAAATGGTATTACAAAGAATTCAGATGCGTATATAGCTTTTATTGTGGTGCTATTACAATTTTGGATATTTCTCTTTTCTTCCCTTTCTAGATTATTCGGCAAGTAAGAGTGCAATCATTGGAATGATGGAAGCCATACAATCAGAACTGTATCATGGAGGAAAACGTGGCATTAAAACGACAATCATTTGCCCTTATTTTATTAGTACTAGGTTAAGCAAAGGCTTTAAAAGCGCGTAAGTAAAGCTTAGATTTGTACTATTCCATATATAAAAGTCATTTTCACTCACTGGGTAGATCATATTCAGTTTTTTATTGGTTGATTTCATTTTTAATTTAACATTTTTGCCCTATTGGCACAGACATAAAGAAATGCAAATCTTGCAAACAGTGAAAGACAAGAACTGTGCAATGACCTCACAGTCAAGGAACAGTTGGGGATACACAGAAGTATTTAAGGGAACCTTATTTGTCGGGAGAGTGCTAATGTTCTCTGTCCCAAGTAATTTTGGCAGTGTAATTACAGTTATGGCTGCCAAGACACCCATGACCTGTCCTTATTAAGTGTCTGCACTGGCAGGTGCTGTACTTCTGAGTGAGAACAGCTGTGGTGATGCTATCGGGTGGGTGGCTCTGTGGCTGCTCTGATGGGAGAGGCTGCAAGCACTGAATGAGCCATTGCAGGAGTGCAGTACCAGGGATCTTGGTTTCAGTGCTCTGCTCCTGCTTGCACCATTCATCATCATGCAGCAGCACATGTATGCAGAGCAGAGCCCTTCTCCTGGCTGGGGATAGGCCTGGTCCTGATCTATTTAGCTGTCACCTCAGCATTTACAGCAGGAAAGGACTGCTGGAGAGCAATGATGCATAGACCAGCACATAGTATGGCTAAGCTTGGAAGATTCCAAAGCTGCAATCAATGTGGGCATCAAATTCATTGTGGTCAGCTTACAAAAAAGTCACTAAATTCACAACTTCATCAAAGTGTTTTCAATTTATTTTGATGATAGCAGGAACAAAAAGGTTTGGAGATTCCTTTTCATGACTTTGTGAGGGGAAGGAGGGAAATGCATAAATTATTTGATTATGTATGTGTGTATTTATCACAAAAGTAAAGTATTATAATTTCATAACCCTTTTTTCTTGTTTTACAGAAAACCCTGTTTGTTTCCTGTTTATGATCCAGAGTATGCAGCCAGCAGGATTGTGGATGCAATTAAAAAGGAGAAATTTTATCTGATCATGCCCCCAGCTGTATACGGACTTGGTCTCAAAATGTAAGCATGTGACTTGTCTTCTAGCATTACCTTCTTTCCTTTGCCACTGCCTGTAAAATCAGCAGGAACGTTTAGTCAGAACAGTCCTTTAGTTAATATTCCTGTAGTCACTCCAGTTACCCAATTTTAAAGAAACAGTGAATTTGATTTTTTAATAATCTAGGTAAGTAACATTCCTCTGGCCTCTTCTGTCTCTAAGAAATGTTTTAAGCTGCAGTTGGGTATAAAAACTTGAAAAATTTTCCTGAGATGGTATACTGGGAGCATGCCTGGTTTAGCACTGTCTGCTTCCAGTCTCTGCCATCTCTGCAGACTGGGCTTTTACAAAATATCCTGGTCTGTCATTCATTTTCCCAATTTATAACGTTGAAGTGTCAAATGTGTTGCTACCAGATATTAGAAGTATTGAGCACATATAATGTATTTGTCATTTCTTTATTTATGGAGTACCTTTATCTAAAAAAAAAAAAAAAAAGTGCTAATTCAATGTTTTTCTCCTCAGTTTCGTTCCTAGAAAAGTAGTGCTATTCCTCGAGTCTTACGTTAAGTTCCCTGAGAGCATGGAAAAAGCCTTCGGTCAGAAGAAAAAGGATTGAAACAAAAAGTATTCTGAAGACCTCAAGTGCTATCTAATTGAACATTTTTAGTTAAAAAATCATTTTAAATCCTATTTATTCCTTGACAAATAATTCACTTCTTTATGCTATTTTACATTGGTCAGCATGCTATTTCATTCTTCACAACCGTCTTTTAAGCCTTTATGTTTGGCAATTTTCTGAGAAACTTTTGAAAAATCACTAAAATTTAAAATTAATTAGGTATTAAGTTGAATGACCAAGCAACAATTTTGCATGGACTGTACTGTTTTCAGTCTGAAACTTCAATGAGGTATCCTGTTAATGTGGAACACAATTCTGTTGTAAATCATGGGAAAATGAAGACAGGAGGAATACTTAGAAAATAACGGGTGAAATCCCTCATTGTATTTGGAGAGAAGTCACACCCATGTTCTTCAACTGTCTTCAAATGAAATTACAATGTAAAGGTCCTAGAGAACAAAAAAAATCCCCAATGACATAAGTTTGGAGATTAGTTACACAAAATATGTGCTGGTACTTAATTGATAAAAATCAATCCTTATGTAAATTTTCAGAAAATGCTAACATAAAATGTTCATAATTGGCTTATTTTAAAAAGAAACAAACTGCAGAGCAGAATAGTGAATCTACAAAGCCTAGTCCATAAAACCCTAAGGAATTACAGAGAACATCTAACAGTCATCTATTGACCACGTTTGCCATCATAATTCAATTGTACTTAACTAAACTCATACTTACAAGCTCCCAGATATAAATAGATATTAGAGTACACACTATTGAAATCCTTATGCTTCCAAAGTATGTATGCATTCAATAAATTCTTTCACGTACCAGTAGATATTACAGGGAAACTTTCCTTTGAGAGAAGGAAAAAGCTATCTGAAGTTTGGTTCTTTGGAAACAAGGCTTATTGATTTCTATTGTTTAAAACTCTCTAGGTGATGAGTAATTAAATATTATTTTCTTATTATTAATGAGACAGCAAAGTCTAAATTGCTTCCTGCAAATACCAATCATTTTCTCAATTGCAGGCAAATATGTTGATTATTGGGATTCCCTTGTTCTGCATGAATGTTACTATTTGGCTCTAGACCTATAATAATTTTTAAGTATGATTACAGGAGTCAATGCAAATTGACATGACATTATGTTTGAGAATACACTGAGAGCCTGGATATCTTAATGTATAATTTCATTGCTGGTGCTGCAGAGCTTAAGAGCAGGGCTCATGAGGTGAGAAAAATGTGTTTAAAATGATTTGTGAAATGAGACTCCCACTTGAATTAATGTCACATTCTAGTGACATTAATATATGGTGGACTATCCATCCAAATGTTAAAGGTTTCAGGATGAAATATTTGCAGGCAAGGAGCTCATTTTAAGGGCCAGCTTATAAGGCTCACTTTCTTGTTTTCAATTTTCTTAACTAGAGTGTTTCTACCTCACCATCTACATCTGCAGTTGTAAATTCACAAACCATATAGGCAGGACATGAGTAGGTTAAGAATAGTGCAAAGGAAATAATACCCTATTTTCTAAGCTATATTTCAGCTATTCTGCACAGCCACCCTGCAAAACCTTATTCTATATTGCTGCAGCCTCAGCCAAGGGCACTTTTGGCTCCATATACTTTTCAGGCTAATCTGCTTGTCTCAAGAAGGAATTTGTAAAGCTTATACTTTCTAAGTCTTACAGTGATCTGTTAGATCTTATCAGTCCTAGAAATCAGTATCTCACTCTTTTCCACGAAAACACCAGTAAAATAGTTTCAGGGTTCGGGGTTGGTTGGTGGTGGTGGTGTTTGAGGGGGAGTAGTTTCTTTTTCATACAGAAAAGAAGTGTGGTAGAGCCAGTAAAACATTTCTAAAACTATAGGCCAAAACCTTCCTATTAAAGCTCAGAAGATGCATTTGAATGGTGTTCCTGTTTTTCAACAGAAAATTATCTTCATATTTTGAAATACAATGTGCCACTTAAGAAGTATCTCAGAGTTATCAACAAGTCCTGGGAATCATGTCCTGTTTTCTTTGAGGCTTTCATCTTATTTGTAATTCCTTCATGACAAAAACATTTTTACAGGAGAAATTCTGTTACTACAGAAGCTGCAAATGAGACTGGAACACAGTTTATTTTTTTTCACTCCATGTTCTCAGCAAAACTGATGAAGAAAGGCCTGTGTTGCTGGACCAATAGTGAAATACTCTGTGATGTCAGTTTCTTGCTCTTCTTTCATGCCCACTGGCACAGCATAGCTCTTCAGAGCATAGTTTTCATATAAAGGAAATCCTAGTATTGTGTATCTTATGAAGAACATTAATCATATTCAAATTATAAGCATTTTGAGAAAGAAACATCTGAATTATTCTGGGTCACTTTGTAATCTAAATCTTTGAATAAACCTTAGAGGCAATGATATGCAACTTTGATTTCTCATTAATTTCATTCTTCTGCATTATTTACTTCCTCTTTTACTTCAGAGTTTAATGTTTCCACACGAATTCATTAAGGGTGTTCCCTGTAAGTCATTATTACAGTGTTCATAGATGCTCAAGTTATTAATTTATATACCTAAGCATATAATAAAAGCCCAGAGACACTGAGATGCAACTTGCAGCAAATCATAGAAATAACTGGACTTTCCCAGAAATTCTGATAGCCTTTATCAGCTGAATTGGCATTTCCCCATTAAATTTGAAAACATTCCCATAAAAACCTCCATCTTTCTAAAGGCCTGATCACTCTCTATTGTCTTAGGAGGATGGCTTTTATGGAAGACATTCTAAGAATACACAAAGCTGATTTGAGGCTAGTTTCATATTCTAAAATGGAAAACGTATTTCCAAATCCTACAATGTTTGAAGTCTTTGAGTAACTTATATTTTCTCAGCCTCTCTCTGGAAAGATGTTTAGTTCACAGTTCTCACAGGTCATGGGACAATTGTGGAGGGATAGATTTGGCACTGGAAGTCAGGAAATTCCCTGTTTCTCTGTCACTTACCTTTGTCTTTGACCTTATTTAAACCCTGAGAAACACAAAAAATTGTGAAAGCTGCATAAACTATGTATAAGTGTACTGTCCCTGTCTTTCATCCCTGTCCTGAGAAAAGGAGGCTTCATGCTTACACAATTTTTCAGGGTAGAATTTTCATCTCTTTACTTCTACACCTAGAGAAATGTTACTACTTTCCATACTGCCTGATGATTTTTCAATATTTCATATAACTTCATGAGGAAGAAAGATCTGTATCAATCCAAAGAGCCCAGTTATTAACAGATCAAAATTCTACATTGATTACTATTATGGATTTTCTAAATTTTTTTTGCAGTCAATACAATGCCTCTGTTCAAGACTTCAGATTCTTCAGGATGCTACAGATTGCTAATAAAGAATGACTATGTAATTTAAAAAAAAATTAATTCAGCTCTATTTTTCTTCTACCATTGCACAGAACTGTTGCTGAAACCAAATAAATAGTCAGGTGGCCTTCCACTTAATTAACTAATCTCAGCTGGCAGCAGTGCCTGAGGTAGCAGTGATTTAAAGAGTCACAAGGCATTGATCAATGCTTTCATGAATTCCAGCTTCTGCAGTGCTCATTGATCAAGTGCACTGTGGTGGCAGAAGGGGCATTCTAGCAGTTGCTTCCTCCATAGCTTCTGTCTCAGAAATGGAGTCAACAAATTAAACATTAACAGTTCCAATATCCATTTTGAGTGCATAACATTTGAAGATACTTTCTTTTCTGCAGCTGAATGGGCTGAGTAGAGCTGACCTCATGAGTCCATCGTGTTACCTGTCTGCCTGGGATGATATGCTAGGAAGTAACAGGAAATAAGGAATTTGATACTCCTACAGAGCAGGAAAAGAAGCTAGAGTGTGATAGTCCTGAAAGGATCTTTGAAAGCTATTTAGAGTGTGACAGCAAATAAATTAAAAGTAGGAAATCAGGCTAGACCTGATGTCTACTTTGCTGTCTAAAGCCCTTCGTTATCTATAGATTGGATTTCCCTGGAAGCTGAAGGAATATGAGTGCCTCGACTGCTAAACTGGCAAATCATAGGATCCCCACACAAATTAAGAGAGGACCCATGATTCTAACCATGTCTGATAGAGCAGGAGATGAGAGACCACACTGTGGGACCATGCAGGAATGGAAATTAGAAGTAAATTGTTCCTCTTCAATATTTAAGCCATGTTGCATAGGACTCTGTTTGCCTTACATGCATCTGTTTACCACCTGGTAAACTAGTGGTGTTTTACAACAGTTGGTTTACTGTTTTGCAAAGGTTTTAAAATGACTTTCTAATCAATTATTTCCTTCCATTTGAATTTTTACAATCTGCTTTCCAAGCAAGGAATATACTTCATGAAAGTCAGAAGCCATTGCAATAACTAAAGTAAGAATTGGAAAAATAAATACCACTTCTTTTATATATGGAAAAACCTATTTGTATATCAGCAGAGTCAACACACAGAATTCCTACACAAGAAACAACCACCATAATTTGAGAATCCTGGTAGAGATGTCACAATGGAAAATTTAAATTACTTCAACCACTCATAGTGGTAACTTGATGCATTGCTGGGATAAATTCTCATCACACATGCTTTGCAAATGAAAGGTGTTTCCATCTTGGAGAGAGCATCCTATCTAGTGACGTTGATGATAACAATGTAGTTTGTATTCCACGACATGCACAATACCTTTAAAATAGCTACTTTAATACTATTGCAATATAGATGCATTCATATACTTCTTAACCTGATAAAATATCTAAAAGGGAAGCACAGAAGGCTGCTATTAGAAGAATTTGACAATACTACACTTGCAGCATTGTGTTGCTTTTGTCATATTGGGAAATGGGAAATGTCATCTTTCTGGGAATATATGAAATAAAAGCATTTAACATTAGGTGGTACTGCATGCAAGAGAGAGGTTGTACATGTTTAAAGTGCACAAGCCTTCTTTTTGTCCTAGTATTCATGTGTTTCCAGCTTTTTGGTTCTGGTTTCTTTGCTTTCTTATTAGAAAATTATCCTTAGTATTTTTCATGTGCAACTTTAAAATTTTCTTCAAGACAGTTCAGTCACTGGGA